CGACTCATCCAACTCCCCCTCCTCCCAGCTCGCTAGCTACTACTATTAATCCTGAGACATATTGTTTTTCGTTTTCAACGTGTGGAGAAATTCAAGACCGATATTTGTTTTCTGACTGGAACTCTGGGCCTCTGGATTATAATTGCAGCGCTCTAACCACTCTGTCCGCCTCGCTACCTTCTCATTCACTGTACGCATGACACATTATTTTCACTACAGCGATTTCCGTATGACCTTGAAATGAAAACGCGCGAACTAAACAGAAACAACAAACGAACGGAAATATAGCGATTTGATTGGTTAATCGAACGGACACAACCGAGAACTTTCTAGAAATCAACCGATACTTCGCTTTGACGTCATACTGCAACACGATTGGCCAATCGAACAATGCCTTCTCCATATTAGGGTTTTCTTTGGCGGGACAACGAAGAGAACATGTTTTGATCTTTTCATCCATTGGCTGATAAAACCAATAACGAACACTTACCGAAACCATTTTTCAACGCCATACGAAAATCGCTCTATCCACTTTTCTGTAATCCTTTACAGCTCTTACTACCGCTGAAGCAATCGAGAAGAGCACAGGTCAGTCAGATGCTGTTAGGCCTCACACTGTCGTGCAGTTCGGACAAATCTGCTCCAGAAAATGGACACAAGTTCACTACCTAAAGGTCGGTGTCAGTTATTGTAATTATTATTATCCTCATTTGTAAACATATAAGGGTCATTAGTCGCTCTTTTGTTTCTTTACCTGTATCCGCCACTGGTTGAAAAATTTGATTATTCGGGATGCACTTTATTAACAAGAATTTCAAGCACAAATGCTGATGTTTTTTTAGAATACGCGAAAAAGTTAAAGTTAAATCTCGTTCTCGCAGTCGTCTTCGCCCTCGTCTTTGTCCTCGTCCTCTTCCTCGAATCTACTGAAACTGAGGTCTCTAATGTGCCTCCAGTGGTAACCTTTTCTGCAGAGTGTCTCGTTTTTCTACTTTGGATGTCGTCTATTTTCACCTACGATGTCTCTCATTTTCTTTCTTGTTACACACGAGCCGCAACGCCAGCAAAATGACTCCATTATTCCGTTTCATTCCAAGCTTTTTGCTCCCTGAAGCGGAGTGTCGAGAATGTATTCCACTTCTCCCGGAACTGGAATAGGAGGTCAAACGAACAGATATTTCGAATCGTTCTATGTCTTCCTATTCTGGAATAAGGTCAATTGAGCCTACTCTGTGGTAAAGAAATCAACTCATGCTGCTTGTTTTGTGGATCTCTTTGTTAACCCTAATTACCACCACCGAAAAAAGAGTTTGAAAAGGTGACGTCTCGAGTGTCAGTCCTTTGTCGTTATTGGCTCTGACGTAATACAAAAGACCGAAAAGACACTGAACAATACCAAAAAAGGAAAAAAAAAAACCAACCAACAGAAACACCAACTTTTTAAATAAAAAAATTTTAGAAAGACGATAGATTTTAAGCTCGGTGAAGAAATGAGAAATGATGTGATCAACATGTCACGAGCACGGGACAGAGAAAAAAATCTGAGTCCCTGACAGAAATTGGACCAACCGGTCTGATGCTCTCACCACTGAACTACGAAGGGCTCGTGACGTAGCTGGACTATATACAAGGTTTCTCTATCCCGTGCTCGTGGCATGTTGATCACATAATTTCTCATTTTTTCACCGAGCTTTAAATTTCCCATCTTTATTTATTACACACAAGACGATTGTGTTTTACCCAGCTCGCCAAGAGTCCTTCCTAGCTCAGTCGTTAGAGCATCTGACCCGTGTCAAAAAGGTCATAAATTCAATTCCTGTCGTGGACTCAGATTTTTTCTAGTTCTCGTGCTCCTGGCATGTTGATCACATCATGTCATTTCTCACCATCTTTTTAGTAGGTGGAGTCCTGTCTTGTCACCATTCAAATTAAACCTCTTTAGCAGTACTTTCACATGGTCCTATGTGCTTGGTATGTAGCCCTAACTTTCGAGACTGTGGATGAAATCTTATAGTGTTACCATTCAAGTTAAACCTCTTCAGCAGTTCTTTCACATGGCACTATTATTTAGTATGTAGTCCTAACTTTTGAAACTTGAGATGAAATCCTGTGTTGTTACCATTCAATGAAACCTCTCTGGTAGAACTGTTGTATGGTGCTATTTGTTTCTTAGGATTTCACAAAAGACACGTTTAATTTTTTTTTAGTGGTTTTCCATTTTGGTTCCTGTAAGGAGCAAAAGCTTTAATTTAACCTTATCCATGCCCAGAAGTAGCAGAAGAGAAAAACTGACACCAGGAACTTAAAGTGTGGTGTTTAACAAAAACCCCCTGTGAGAAGTAAAAAATTCTGTATGTTTTAATTCAAGTAAAACATAAATATATTTCAAACCTTATATTTTCAATAGTCGTGATCAATTGTTCAATAAAAAAGTTCTAAATGACTCAAATTAATCTTAAGTAGCATCAGAAGGCTGCTTAATATCATATTTCGATGCATGGAAATTTTGGTGTATTTTCTTAATTGTGATCCCGAAAACTAACCTGTTTTCTCACCACCATGCATGCCTCCATGGCTAGTACATTTTAGTATGACTTTTATTGCATATTTTGAATGTAAAACATTGGTAATGTTCACATCGAAATGTATTAGCCGTGGAGGTATGTATGGTGGGCATTAATTTGGAAACATTTGCATAACGTCAAAACAGTGAATATCGTAACGCGGATTTTTGGCTGGTTCGTAGGCTAGGTTCGTCTTGAAATTTCAAGGTGTTGCAGTCAATGAATCTGAATGAAAGTTTCAGACATTATTATATACATCATGAGGATTACGTGGTAAGGTTTCAAAAGAATTCTGTCAAGCCGTTTTAGAGATATAGAGAAAGGCGCCAAAAGTCAAAATTTAGAAAAAAGTTGCACTTAGACAGGCGGTGAGAAAACAGGTTAGTTTTCCGGATGGCAAGAAAGAAAATACACCAAAATTTCCATGCATCGAAAAATGATATTAAGCAGCCTTCTGACGCTACTTAATATTAATTTGGGTTATTTAGAACTCTTTTATTAAACAGTTTATCACGGCTATTGAAAATATAAGGTTTGATATATATTTATGTTTTATTTGAATTCAAACATACAGAATTTTTTACTTCTCACAGAGTTTTTTTGCTAAACACCACACTTTGAGTTCCTGGTGTCGGATTTTCAGGAGCAGGTCAAGATCGCGCGAAATTCGGATTAAAGCGATTTCAAAGTTTTTTTTGTTTATTGTTGTCATAGTTATATCGATTTTACTAAAAACTGCATTTTGACAATTTTCAATTCATAGTCAATCACTGGTGAAAATCTTGTGGCGATCGGACTAGGATAAAATCAATTTTAAGGCGATTGAAAAACATCGGTATAGTCTCCAAGAAACTGTATCGAAACAAATTAACAAGTATCTAAGCGCTGAGTAGGCGTGTTGACAATGATGCCAAGGTTACTTGTCAACGACCAGTCAAGGCACAACTCGTCGACTGATGCAAAACTGAAAATGAGACGAGAAAAAAAATCCCTATCCGGCTTAGAGAATTGTCCAAAGTCTTTCCGACTCATTTCTTTTAACCAAGAGGACGTGATGGAGAAACTGCCTTTCTATAACTGGGGTAAAAACCCCTTTGGACTCGCTATTTTTACCCCCGGCAAGGTTTGAGCAAAGCATTTCAGAAAGGCATTTGATAGCCATGGCTTCCGTTTGATATATTCTAAATTGATTCTGCTCTGCACGGGTAACAAATCAAGAGCCTCACTTGTTATTAGTGGAGCCAATTTTCTATGCCCTTTATCTTCAGGTGAATGTATTTAGCACGAAAGTGCCAATTGAGGACACTATTTTTACGTCTCTTTCTAGAGACGAGACGGCCATTTTACGTGGTGAAATGAGCCACGCGAAGGTCTAGCTGTTTGTAGGCCAAAGGCAGTAGTTTCATTTCTTAATTATTTTAAGACCTTTAGTATTGTTCCGGCCCCCGGAATCAAACCCACGACCTCCCGCTAAAAAGTCGAACGCTCTATCGACTGAGCTAATCCTGTTGCAGATCTTGAAGAACAAACGTTTAAAGAAATCTTGAGAGTCATGCTTTAAAGTTTTCAAGTTTTATTAAGTACCCATTCCGCTAATGTTTAAGGGACGTTTGTTTTTTTTTTTTTGCACACTCCATGCTCCTCCTTGGTACTAGACTTCACCGGGTCGAGCTGTGAAGAGCAAATATAAAGAAATCGTTAATGTGTAGGTAACGTCTTTGCCGAGCTGCTATAGAAATAGTCACATGTTACGTGAAGGGTAAAGTTATATGCACTTCTCGAAGAGCAATAAACATCACGATGGCAGAGACCTAGGTTTTATCTCGCGCGCGTATTCATAGACTACGTTTTGAAGAAGCCATTCCTCCCAAGTCCCTACCACTGCGAAACGCTGCCTCCTCCTTGAAAGGCGCGTAGCAGACGAAAGACCCTAACACAAGCTTAAATATTACTTGCGCAGTCTAATTTGTGTCTCGTGTCTACCCCTGAATTTGTTGTACGCAATAGAAAAGCGCTGAAAAATCCTCTACTTTTGTAAAATTTGCCAGCAATGGCGTGGCGCAACTTTCAATATTCAGTCAATCAACTTTAATATTCAAATTTAACCGCTGTCCTAAAAAGTTCCCGGTCACTCGCTTGATAGCCTCTTGAAAAATGTTGCGCGCACCTGATGTTGCCCCAAATGTTGGAAGTTGAAGTTTTGTCGAGTCAAACCACGGCTTTGCCGATTGTATATTTTCCTTGTAAGGCATGCACTAAATTCTTCCAAATGTTCACCGAGACAACTGGCTTCTTTGCCTCTTAATTGGCTACGAGCCTGATATGCCCAAACTGCAGGCAATTTTGCTCAGCAATAAATAAATAAATAAATAAATAATTAATAAAATAATGATAATAAAAACACGGTATTTGCACTTGCCATCCCGGCGCGGAGGACTATGCAGTATGTGCCTCTTCAAATGCCTGCTCGTCTTCAGCAAGTGCTGCGGCTGTTTGATTCGAAGATGCTGTAGTTGGTGCGGCAGTTGTTACATTAGAAGGCACCTCAGTTGGTTCAACAGTGGTTATATTGGAAGGTGCTGTAGGTGGTGCTTTCTTGGGTAGTTTGCCTTTAAAACACCAGGGAACGTAAGGAATCATACTTTCAACCCAACAGCAGTCGTTATCGACTTCACATTCGTAGCGTTGAATTCCAAAATAGCCACATTCCTCACGCTCTTCAGGCTTGATTCCGTAGCACTTGTTGTCTGCGAGAAAAAGCGAAAAAATGAGATTTGCCAACGCAAGAAATTAGATGCTTGTGCATATTTTATGATTGCAAAATGTAAGAATTGCCATAGGTAATTTTTTTAACGTAGCCGGCAGAAGTGTTCTTCATTTTTTTCTCTTTTTATCGCCTAAGATTAGTCGGCGGAAGTTGTTAAGTATTGGATCTCCTGTGATATTTTACTTCAAAGGTCCGAGTACGAATGTGAGTTGTAGCTCAAGAATAGACTTGAGGTCCTTCTTATCCTTGTGCCTTGATGGATTTTTTTCTCTCCTCTACACATCATGTTTTTCTTCCGATGTTCCAGTAGGATCAGTTGTTTCTAGAGCGTTTTCACGCACGTGTCCAGCATCCATGCAAATAATTGGAACAAACGGAGTCGTTCACAGAAGAAAAGTGTTCAACTCCCACAGGATTTGTTTGGAACACCAAAATGACCGCCGTTTCATTGTTTGGAAATACACTCTGAGATCGCTGAGATACATGTGAGTGGGATTATTAACCGATAGAATTAATAATAAATTGGAAGAAAGTAATTTGATTAATGAGCATGCGCTTAACTGTGAACCTGTCGCTTTAACTTCTTCATCGGAAGTCTGCTAGGTGCATGACCCCGCGTTTCGATTATGATTTGTCATAAATAAATTGCGCACGACGAGATCTCAGTTCCCTTGTTTCCTCTTCAAAAACACTTTCCTTGTGGATAGTTAACTCCACACCTTCTCCAGCAGATGAATAACATCAGTCACTCCCTTACAAAACTTGCTGAAAATGCACAATCTCCACAACATCGCAACATAAGCTTTATGAAAAACAATAACACACAATACTAAAACAAGTAAAAAAAACCTACCCTTCCAAACAAAACTAAAAGAAGAACAATGATGATGATGCTTATCAGAAAGGTTACTAAACCACGGTAACTGCGTTTTGCTTCTCCTTGTTGACAATCTATCGCTTTCCGAATCGATTCGTCTACACGCAACGCAAACGACCGTTCCTTACCCTCGACCTTCCTGTTTTGAATCGCTCTTGCTGCAATAATCTCCAGTAATCAAAATCTCTTCACTCTCAAACTTTATACGCATTTCTGACCCCAAAATGTTTTCCATGAAGGCATATAACTTATGTAATCTTGACTTTCTGAAAACTGATTTCGAGATATCTCGAACAACTTCCGGCGTCACTTCGGAAGCAAACTGCAAGTTTACGACATTCTTCAGCGTCGCAAATCCTCTAATACTTTACGCTCCGCCTCAAATATTTATTGAAGCCGAAAGAACTAGAAGTGATCTCGCGATATCTCCAACTCATTACAGCGTCACTATGTCAAATACCCAAGAAACAAGCCGACAAGTAACAAACTTGCCTGCCGAATCTTTTCTCGTGCATCGTGCATAACTTATGGCTATTTTTCACATCTCATATTACCTTGCGTCGCAGTGGCGCAATCGGCTAATCCCTCAGTTGAGAGTGTTATCTGATATGACGGGTCACACGTTAGCCGGTTTAAACCCTAAGCAAGCCAAAATCATAATTCTTTCTTCCACGAATAAATTAAATAATAAATCAGAGAACTCGAAGTGATCTCGAGATATCCCAAAGTAATTCGGCCCTCACTTCGTCAAATAGCCGATCCAGACCGAAGACCTTCGGACTTTGCGTGCCCAACCTTGTCCCAAAAAAAGCAACTTTGGGACATTCCTGGGCGTCGCGGATGCTTTACTTCGCGCTCCACCGAAGTATCGAGAAGTAAAATACCTCACTTCTACCTGACGTCGTGCGTTGCTCAAAAACGTCTTTGCTTAAGCTCCCTAGTATGGCCGCCGTGACGTCATGTGAAAACGCTGTATAAGCGGAAGGTCAAAACCGAGCCCTCTGTACCAAGCGCACGTCTATTAGGCCTGGGTTCGAAACTGTATCCTAGCAACATGCACCATTCCTTTAAAACGCATACGTGGGAGGCTACATGCAGCGCATCCTCAACAAAGATCTTACACGATTCGTGCAGAGTCTTTCTCGAGTATGCCAAATCGAGTAAGCGAAAGAAAGATTCTGTTGGCAGGGTGGCGAAAAGTGTTCTTAAGCTTAATCATACCCACCACTTAAGCTTTTTTCACATCGATATTGTACGTTTTTTCAGCTCCCAAGAATTGCCCTTTCGAAGTCATTCCCAAAATGGCCACAATAAGATTTCTATCGTGAAGATGCCTCCAACACAAATTTTGTCTTCGCACCTTCCCGAAACTAGACAGCTTTAGATTCTAAGACGAGGACGACTACGAGAACGAGATTTCCTCAATACTAAAGAGTGTGCACGCGAACCAACATCGTTTTGGCGGGAAAATGTGTTAGCCATCGTTATTCTCCTACGAGTTTTAGTGAGAAGTGAATGAGTCGTAGTGGCGAAAACAAGTTATCAAATGTTAGGAATTTTATCATTTAGCGGCGATCGGAAGACGGCTTAACCTCCCTCAACGGAAATAAGCGAGCTAACTTTGGTGGTGAAAAAAAGAAAGTACAATTTTCCAGGGAGCTTATTTTTAAAGAACAGGGGAGAAAACTTAGAACTCAATTTTGACCTCGTAGTCGTCCTCGTCCTCGAATCTAAATCTCTCTATTATTGTACCTAAGTCCCCCTCGACCACCCTCCCCCTCTCCCTTGCTATCACCACGAGTATTCCTTCTTCTACATTCTTTATTGTTGCCGTTAAATGGTTTAGCACTAACCTTTGGGATAGAAGCACCATAATGCGTACGCGTAATTCTCGTCCCAGCAACAACCTCTGCCCTCACATGTCTCCTCATCAATGCCATACCACCCGCAGTCAGTACGGTCATCGGGATCAACAGAACATGTATCTAATTATTCAAAGGCGAAATTGTGTTGTTGTTATAAGTGTCAAACGTTAGACTTCGAAACTCGCAAAATTGAAAAGAAGACGAATACTGTTATAAAAAGCGAGTGTCTTACCTGCGAAAGTGTATCCTGTGAATGTAGAGCAGAACTTTTGTTAGTCTCTTTTTAAAAAGTCATAAACAGGTTTTGTCCCTTGCCTCTTAGTACTTACTTTTGGCAGGTTTTAATATTCGGTAAATTTTGCATCTGACTGAAAATGTAATTAAATAAGACATGCTCGTAAAAATGGTTTTTCCTCGTATAAATGGCCCTAGTGTGTTGCTTCCAAAAGCTGCCATCGCTTGAGAAAGAGTCCAGAAACGTCAAAGTAGGTAGGAAAATTCAGCACTGACTTAGTACACGGTTTCAGAATCGAGTGGAATGTCATTAAGGTGTTTCGATACAGTTTTTCAGAGACCATACCGATGTTTTTCAATCGCCTTAAGTGTGATTTTTTTTCTTGCCCGATCGCTACAAACTTTTCACCAGTGATTGACTATGAATTGAGGTTTATCAAAATGCAGTTTTTAGTAAAATCGATATCACTATGACAACAATAAACAAAAAACTTCAAATCGATAAAATCCGAATTTTGCGCGATCTAGACCTGCTACAGAAAGACTGATTCCAGGAGCTTATAGTGTGGTGTTTAGCAAGTAACCTCCGTGAGAAGTAAAAAATTCTGTATAATTGAATTCAAATAAAACCTTACCTTTTCAATAGCCGTGGTAAACTGTTTTATGAAAAAAGTTTTAAATACATTCAAATTAATATTAATTAGCGCCAGAAGGCTGCTTAATATCATATTTCGATGCTGGGGAACTTTGGTGTATTTTCTTTCTTCCAATCCTGAAAACTAAGATGTTTTCTCACCACCTGTTTAAGTGCACTTTTACTCTAAATTTTGACTTTTAGCGGTTTTCCGAATACGTCTAAAACGGCTCGACAGAATTCCTTTTAAACCTCGTCACATAATCTTCATGATGTATATCATAATGTCTGAAACTTTTATCAAGATTGATTTACTGTAACACCTTGAAAATTCCAGACGAACCTACAATTGTAGCCTACGAACCGGCCAAAAATAAGCATTACAACATCCACTGTTTTGACGTTATGCTAATTTTTCCAAACTAATGTCCACCTAACATATCTCCATGGCTAGTACATTTTAATGTGAATATTGTCAATGTTTTTCATTCAAAATTCATACTAAAATGTACTACTTGTGAAAATTTTATAGCGATCGGACAAGAGCGAAATCACTCTTAAGGCGACTGAAAAACATCGGTATGGTCTCCGAAAAACTGTATCGAAACAACTTAAAAACTACAGAATGATGCACGACAATTAAATAAAAAAGCCAAAAAGATGCACGAATGGGCCAAACTGACGAAGATTACAGCGGATTGCTCCCAGAATAAATTGACAATCAGCGCCCCCTTTTTATAAAGCTTTGGGGTGTGACATCAAGTTATATGATACTGTGACATGCAATACTCGAGAAGCTTCTTTTCGTTTATGTGGCGTTGATTAGCCTGTGTAGAGACGTCCCCCCTCCCTTAGAAAATCCCGATTTTTTTCTGAGGGAGGGGGGAGGTCTCTACACAGGCTAGGAAGTGATTTGATCTGTGAAAGATGTTCTTATCACTAATTCATCATTTAAAGCTTGTACTAAATAACGATAGTATGTAGATATATGAGCAGGCCTAAAAGCGGAGCTGCATAGTCTCCCAAATTATGGCTCGCAAGAAATTGTAGCCCATTACCGCCCAGCCAATTTTCAACTAAACTTATGCTAAAAATTCATATCACGTGGGACTCAAGACACTGTTTCTTTGAATGACACTAAATCTAGATAACCATTGAACACAATAATGGTTTTAGCTATATTTCTTAACGCCATACATTTATTAATGGCGGAAAAAAAATCGAACACCACGCTTGGTGATAGATCTTTTTATATGGCTGCCCCTAACGAAACGGAACGATCTTCCCTTTTTTTATTAAAAATATATTTTCACTTAATGCTTTCAAGAAGGCTCTTAAAACTCATTTATTTCAGAAGGCGTTTCCCAGCTAATTTATTGTTTTTATTTTTACTTTTTTTTCTACAAACAAGGATTTGTAAATAGGATTTTTACAGAATAATTAGTCATTGTTTTTAGAATTTTAGACTCATTAGTTTTAACAAATTATTAGGAGCGATCTGTAAATAGGACTTTAAGGATTAATTGGTCATTGTTTTTAGAAGAATTTTTTGTTTGAAATTGGAATATGTACTAGGATTTTAGGATTTTGTTGAGTCAATGTAATGCGCAGATGAAAATTTCTTTTCCTGGATTGATATTTGCGTAATACAATATAATACATATTATATTATTAAATACTATTCGTTGTCAAAAAATGAGCAGTAAAAATAATAGTAAAATAGTTATCCATGGTGAATAAATAAGTGGTATTTTTTCTCTTCTATTTCTAATAGCCAAACACTTGATGAAAATGAGTTTTTAAAGTACGTTTAAGTTGTCTGCAAAGTACCTTTCACACACGACTCGATGTTAAATGCACTTCTATTAAACAAAAGTAGAGAGCGGAAAAATTAGTCTCACCCAAATGTATAAGGTGACAAAATGAGCCCAAGTTTGTAGATATAAATTCAAAAGGCCAGTGTTTCCTTTTCGAAGTTTCACAAGAGTCTGGTTTTAAAACTTTTTTATTTTCTTTAGGTAATTAGAACCCCCTCCCCCAAACATCGGTTGTGCTAGGCCTGTAATCTCAATTCACAGAGCACCGAACGGCAGGATTCCAAGTTAAACTGCATTAGATATTTCAGCATCAGCAGAAGAAATCGACTACCGGTATTCTCTTTTAAACCGCTTCCACTCCCAGAAGAGGCTAGTTAAATATTTGACCAATTTACCAAATTTCATTTTGTGTAATGATTAATTGCAAATATCACCATGTTAAATTACTGCGGCAGAGAATTGATTTGATAACACCATGACTTTATCTTCGCAGACTCTGGAGTATAAGGGTCGACAGAAGATGTTAATACAGAAAAAAATTTATCTGTTTTCGTGAAGAGTGGGAGAGGTTGAAGTGAAAAAAGTACATCGCTTTACGACATCCATTAAGCAATCCTTTCGTTAGCCCTTTCACGCTCAATTTTTCTTTTTGCCGCTAAGTTGTTACTACAGTTGATCTCCATAAGCGGCCACCATAGGGGTAACGGCAAGTGGCTGCTTATTGAAGGTATGCCGCGGAATAGAGGTTCGTCAGAAGTAAACATAACCTTAAGCAGAAACTTCAATTTATTCTGAAACCAACCCCCTTAGAGGTTTCCGTCCGACAACGTTCACCCAAGAGACAGCTCTAATACTGACGACAAATCTATTAGAATATCGTAACAAACAAGCACATTCTTTTCACAATACCTTGTTGATGTTCTTCCAACTTTGCACGAACCATACTACACAGTATAACTATGCCGTAAACTTTATAATCGGACTAAGACGGCAATGTCTGTAACTTAAACGTTACATTAGTCGTCATCTGCTCTCTCTGACTGTATGTTTCTTCCGCCTACTGTATTCAAATGAAATCTCTTTGCCAAAACTTTTGCATGCTGCTATACAATTCTCACGATTGTACAAATAGCAATTTGGAACTTATTTGCGAATTTTCACTTTGCCTTCTTTACGATCTGAAAGGGTTAACCTTACCTATGCCCAAAAGTAGAAGCAGAACGGTTGTGACCTTCATTTTTCTGTCAGATAAAGCTTGGATCAGACACAGACACGTTATGGGATGGAAGCCTTCCTACAAACATTTATAATTAACTTGTTGGCGGTTGCATAAAAATTTGAAAACTATGGGTACCAAAGTGCGTGATGTGGCATCCACGTGATTGAAATTATTGAAATTTATGAAAAAGAAGAAAACAAGAACGTAAATTCAAAGGGATGTGAACGTTAGCGTCAAGTAAACAAAAAACTCCTAGTTTTCTTTCGCGTAAATTCAACAATGGAATTAAGCTTTTAAGGTCATTTTATAGGGGTATTATGAAGTAATTTTTCTTTAGTTCGTATATGTAAGGCGGAAGAGCCCCCAAGGGGGAGCTATGCAATAAAGTATGTATGTATGTATTTAATTTTCTTATCTCCCTATTTAATACATTTTGTTGCTGTTTAATCAGACCTCAGTAATTTTATGAAAGCATTTCTTATTTCTTTTCACAAAGTTCACCAACTTTCAAAGACTGGATCTGTCGATTTGTCAAATGCCTTTCTGAAATGTCATACGGTTTCCCGCCATTGCCCCTTAAGGTCACGTCGTCTGGGCAGAATGCCACTTCACATTTGAGAGTAATATTCACGCATACGCCTGCGGTATCCCTACTAACTTCGAAATGAAGAATAGAGGTTGTCGCAGCTTTCTTTCTCTCCATAGTTTATTCTGGGAGTAAAAAAAATGGGGTTCGACAAAGAAAAAGGGGCTTCATCATATTTCCTGAGGAACTTGGAGCTAAAAAGTTGCTATGCTTTGTCACACTTAATTATGCGTGAATAATAACTAAGTTTTTTAACGAGTTTTAAAGCCGTCCTGATAGAATTTTGTGACAAACCAAAGGAATGCCTGCGTTGGGGGCGGTATCCTTGTGGGCTTTTTTTTTCATTTTATATTTAGCAAGATTCGCTCGGTTAGGATCAAGTAGTGAAAAAACCTTTGTACAAACATTTATGATAAATTTTTTAGCAGTTGCATAATAATTTGAAAACTATGGGTAACAAAGTTTGTGATGTGGCATCCATGTGATAAAAATTATTGAAATTTATGAAAGAGAGTATACAAGAACACAAATTTAAAGGGATGTTTACGTTAGGGTGAAATAAAAACTCCCAGTTTTCTTTAGCCTGTGTAAAGACGCACCCCTCCCCTCAAAAAAATCGGGGAGAGAGACG